CAGGCGTTACACAAGTAGTGCCCGGTGCCGTCTCTTCTCCACAGGGGGGTTGAGGTAGCCCCACAATTTACACACTCCCTGCCTTCTGGAAACAAGAGAGCACATAGTTCACTTAGGGAAAGCAGAGGTAAAAGGGGCTGAAGAAAAAAGCCCCCCTCCCTCCTCCCCCCCAAAAAAAACCCAACAACAACCCCCTGAGAGCCCCAGTCAGGCCAGACCTTTCCTGTCTTCTCCAAACTCAGGATGTCCAAACAAGGGCCCAAGAACATGGCTGAGAGACATCCCTGACCCAGGCTTGTGGGGGGAGAGGCTGGTGGGACCTGATCTTCTCCCCCTCCCCAACACCACCCTGCAGGTAGCATCAGGCCTGTGTCCCAGCAGCAGGGAAGAAGGATGGTGACAAGGACAACCCAAACCCCACGGTGGCTCGAGGGGTTCCCTGGAGAAGCTCTCACCCTTCTTGCAGGTCCCTTCTTTGGGGAAGGGGGGGGTGGGCTGGCAATCCCCCCTCACCTCTGAACTAAGGGCTCCTGCAGCCCTCCAGACCCCATGTTGCTATATGGACCAGACAAATCTTGGTGGGCTTTGCAGGAGCCTCCAACTCCCCCAGGATGGATGCACGGAGACCAAATTTAAGTCCATGCCCAACTCTCTGATGTGTATGAGGACCCCAGGGTCACTCCTTGAGAGCTGCCCCAGCTCCCAGAGGGGTGCATGAGCCAGGGGGGGCTCTACCTTTGGCCTCGGGTCAAACCACATCAAGGAGCCTCAAACGAATCACAGGTCGATAACCAAAACACCTCCCCAGTCCCAGCCAATTCGCAACCACTCTGCCAATATCTGCTATCGATTAATTTCCAATGAAACTTCCACTGCCCAGCCTGGGGAAACTTCTCCGGCGTCTCCACCACATCTGCAGCCTGGTGACAACCCTGATATTTGGGATCCCCAAACAAGCCCCAAGCCCTGATTAAGGTCTTTCCCTCCTTCTTCTTTTTGGGACCTCTCTTTCCTCTCCCTGGGTTATTGGAAGGGGGGGTTGGGGGATGGATGGTGGTTTCCTCCAGCCCACCATCTCCCAGCTTGGAGCTGGAGGGACGCGGGCATTCCTCCCAGCTACTTTCAGAAGGTTGAGTGGGTTTTTGTTGGGTGTTTGGTTTGGTGGTTGGTTGTGTTTTTGTTTTTCTGTTGGGTTTTTTGGGTTTGTGTTGGGT